AATCAAATGCTTTAATCAAATATTTCAATATGGATATCAAACCAAAGTTTTATTTGCTATGTTGTGGAACCTCGGGACAATAAGAAACTTTTCCAATAAAATTAATTATTTTCGGTTATATAATTTATTTTGGTTTTCGCTACAGTTGAACTACGACGCTAAATGGAACTTTACGTGGCTAAGCTTAGTTTTTTGTTTTCAGTCTGAAAAATTTCTTTACTTTTCTTAATGTAATAAAATTGTTTAGATAAGTATTCATCTTCTGTTATTTTTAGAAATATCTAATTGTGTAAAAGCCGGCCCGAAAATGCCTCAAAAAGCATTAGCAGCACCATAACAAAGTTATCTGATCGTCCTAATAGTTATTCGTTGTACCGAAGGTAAAATCTCAAGTCGAGATATCAAAACAAAGTCCTCATAATACGAGTATGTATGCACGTGTGTATAACAGTATATTTGCAGCTCGAGTCAAAGTTCAAAGCTGTTATTATTAATGTAAAATGTTAATTAAGAAATAAATGTCACGCCAGAGAGGAACACGACCGAAATGTGTCAATGGAATTGGACGTGAGATCTTATCAATTCATTAATTTACAAATGGACGCTTACGAAGCTTGATTCAATGAAAATTGTCAGTAGGATACGAGGCAATGATAATATACGACAGGATTTGTTTAGTGCCTTTAGAAATAGCCTTAACACGCCCATGTTTTTATAGCCAAAAGAATGCTTCCTTTTTGTAGGAGGAGACATATTCGCCAATGAACATAAGGAACAGACAAGGCGGAAACTGACACATTTGTGAGGAAATAGCATGAAAATAAAAGTGAACGCATACCAAGTAAGTATGTATGTATGTGTGAGTGTCGTAGTTATGCCTGTGCCGCATTTCGTGTGGCTTTAACAGCATTTCAATGCGTAAATCATAAAAAGACAAAAGCAGCGAGGCGTTTCCGCAAACCAAGAAAGAAAATACCTTATACAAAGAATTAAAAAAATGGCAAAAAACATGCCAAATAGTCACACATGGCAATGAAGAACAGGACAATATTTCGAGTCGTTTCCCACCTGTCAATTTTTGCTGTCGGCAATGGGAAAACGTGTCGCCCTCGGCAAAAAAATTTATTGCCGGTAATATCGCCATAGTATGGATTTCTTATTCGCAGTCGCTCAAAAACGTCCGCCGCATGAATCATTTTTGTATCGCTTTATTTTTGCTACAGGCGATATTTGAGCAATAATTGCCTGGAACAATTTTATTTTTTTTAAACATTTTATTAATTTTTGGATACGAAAAAAAAAATTTAAAATGAAATTAACTATTTTCCTTCCCATGGCGCTGCCCAATTTTTTCGACGAGTCGCCAATTTGTTGCCAACAAACGATTGTTGCCTTTTTCCCATGTTTTGCATTGTGGGTTGTGTAACAAACTATTACCAAATGGCTGAACACATACATACATACATACATGGATGTGTAACCGAAAAGAAAGCGTGTGTTGAATAGTACAGCATAAGTGGATTTCTTTGCAGATATGTACAATAAAAACTGACAAAAATGTGTAGATGATACGCGGAAAGTTGAAGAAAAGAAATAAGAGCAGGCACGATTAATTTGCGATTGGCGGAAAAGTGGCGCAGCATGACGGCCATAACAAAAGCGTTGGTTATTAATCCTTGACAAGAAGTAACGCCCTTTCACCAAAGCTGTTGTTCAGTACCTATCCTCTTCGCTGTTAAGCATTTGCCGCGCAACCTACGGCCTGTTGGGCATTAGGCTCGTCGCTTTTCTACTCTTCGATTGCTGCTTGCCTCACTGCACTCGTGTGTGTGGTATCTATTGACTTGGACATTTACTTGCCCTCACTTCATCTTAAACTTTGATTACCTTAACTGCTTGAGCATGACCGACTTAGCGGAGTAAATAAATCAAAATTGTTTGCAGTTGTGGGTGGCAACAGCAGCACAAAAAAAATAGGAAAAAGAAAACAAGAAACAACCAGCAACAACACTGATGAAATATCGTTTTTATTTGTTTCCCTCGCCTGGTATTTATGCTGTGCTCATTGTTGTCTTGCCTTTGATGGGTGAATACTTTTTGCTTTTATTTTCATTTTACTCTACTGAATTCACTTTTGTTTTCCTCTCTTGTTCAAGTGTGTTTGTGTTTTGATTGTTTTCCCAACCGCCCTTTTTATTATTGTGAATCTAATTTTGCTTTAGGATCATGTACGGTCAATGTTTATACAACACCTTGTAATATCCGTTTCGAGGCATGGAATCTATGTATGTATGTATGTATGTATGTATGTATGTAACTATGCATGATGAGCAAGCTGAACGATGTTGCCGAATAGTGTTGAGTCACTTCTTAAAAGCAAAAAATACGTTAGTAATTCACGAAAAACCGTGAAAAAAACGAAGAACTTCGAAAATTCATAAAATGCCCCAAAAATATGAAATAAAAACAAAAAAAAATCCCCAAATGTACAAGCATCTCCAAGGACTCCGAATAATTACGGACCACTTATTTACAAGGGACTGAAAATAACTGTTAACCGATTTTTATTTTTTCGACCAAGAATAATCGTTATTTCGGAGTTGTCTACATTTTTTCGATGTTTCTGAACCTTTATGATAGAGATTGCGTTTTTATAACCATCTTTATTAAAAACCAAAAATATGGTTCAAGCCATGGTCAAAGCAACATCGCAAAAAAATATAGAAAAAAGGTTTTTTCTTAACAGCCGTCGCTCCTCCGTAGTCAGTGGCAAACCGCCGCGTGTATTTCTGCCGTTCGGAGTCGGCGTAATAACATCAAGGCGCACACCAGGAATCGAAGGGGAAGCTCGGCCAAACACTAATATATGTGTAAGCGCCAAACTGTTGTTATTAAATACAAAAGATAAAAGTACCTAGTTCTTTTCATCGAAAAATATCAGCAATATTAAGCTTTTTTTTCGCATTAAAAATAAAACATAAATGTATGTATATAAACAGGCCTTTAGTTAGACGTGAGTCTGCCACTGAGAAGAATCGAACGGACTTATATCTCTGATAACCGAGTACTCCCGTTCCTAAAATACCTAGGGCTGATTTTGATGCGCTGCTGATTCTGCCATCATTCAATGACTTTATCTGAGGCGAGACCCTTTAATGTGGAGTAAGGAAGCGTCTTAGACGTCAATGCCACAGTCTGGTTCACTAATATTGCCTTTTTGTGATGAGCTACTACAATCTTGAGTTCCCTGAGCGCGAGTTTACAGGTTGCGGAACGTTTACTGGTGGCTGAAAAATGCACATAGGATCAAGATCTGGGGTCTATATTGAAGTAAGTGGGAATAATTTGCAACTCCTTGTTGGAAAATATTTGGTATTCCAAGCCAAGGTATTTGCAAACCTCAAGGTCATAGACTACATGTTGGAAAACAGGCGAAGTTGCGACGTTTTAGGAATACTGAAGGGCCCAAACACCTGACTCTGATCGACATAAATTACCACACCCTTCGCTATTTCTGCTTTAATGGGGAGGAGGCGGTGCAACATTTTATATGTTGCTCTGTACCTTTGATATTTTTCATTCATTTATTTGATGTTTACTATTTTTTTTGTGCAGAGCAAAACTTGTATTCTGCTTACCTCACAAAAACCATGTAACTCCGAGTATAAATTTTGTACCAGATTTAAAAAAATTCGATAAACTTCAACAAAATTGGATCAAAGTTTTAAATTCTTAAGCTGAATTTAAAAAAACCAATTTGGTATGCAGTTGTATAGCCTTTTAAATTCTGGCACCTCCTATAGACGTAGTACATTCAGAGAACCAACACCCCGAAACCTTTATGAATATACAGCTAAACGGTATGTCCTGTAGAAAAATAAAGTGGGATGAGAGTTTACGAGAAGTCTTTGCGGCTCCCATAGTCTTAGTACATTTCCAACATTTTTTAAAACTATAAATCACGTGAAACATAATCTCAGTTTAAAAATTTAAACATCTTTTATGCTTCTTTCGTTACCTGGATCTACCTAACCGCAGCAAACTTATTGCAGTATCTGAACACAAAAAAAATTGTCTTGCGACCGTTTTTTCAAGTAGCTTTTAACATGTATGTGGCCTTCAAATAAATTTTTCGCTAAAAAATACTACACTTTTTTTTTAATAGAAGAGTTCAAAGAGTGATTGGCTTCCAATTACACTGTACGTATGTAATTTTTAAACTTTTGAAATTTTCTTAAGAAGACATTTATAAGGCTGTGTAATAGGACTCAAATGTGTATTTTTTTGAGATATTGGTTTTTGATTTTTATTGGTGCTTCATTTGTTCAAGGACTCTGCGGATAATTTTTTTTAACCGCTTTGAAAAAAGTGCTTAGAATGTTATATAAGAAATATGGAAAATTTTTACGTTGCTATTCCTTCATAGATGCTAAATAGTATAGTTGCAGGACTCGACTAAAGGCTATTGATATGCAACATTTTATTTTTTTTAACTAAAAAAGGCAATTATGACATAAAAAATATTTACTACTCAATTTTATTTTCTGCTACGCTTTTTCACTTCATTTACTCCGATTCTAACCCTGGTGATAAATAAAACGGCGACTCGCCGATTTATTGCCGAAGTGCAAAATCGGTAGAAATACTTCTTTTATGTCGTTTTAGGAATATGTTTTCGAAAATTCCCAAACTCATGAACTTCGCGTCAACAGGATTCTTCAAAAAATATATAATTTATGCCCAAGAAAGGTTTGAAGAAATAGCAAGCTCCATAGCGACGAAAATAATTAACTTCGTTTACAAGTTATAAGTGTGTGTTCAAAAACCATGATGCAATAATGAAATGTGTTATACGTTGGCAACTTCTCGCTCTAATCCGCCATCTTGAACTACCTTAGGAGAAACTGTGTTGTTTCTTTGCTATTTTCACTGAACATTTCCCAAAATATTAGAAAAAAATTCTGAACAAGCTACATTGATTCAATTTTCGTTGTTCGTTTTGTTCTTATTCGCTGACATTTGTTTTCCAATTGCGTGAAATTTGGTAAGTATTGTAATAAAACCGAATTATTTTACAAATAAATTATAATTTTGCATTTATTAGGTCATTTCCTTAGTGTTTCGCTGACCGACCTGTGCTGGTATTGTGATTAAGAGCTAATACACGTAAGTTACAACATATTATTTTGACTTTATTGATGAACCATTCCATTTGAGCTCTTTGTTATTTCAAAACCTAATGAACCATTTATTCGCAGATTTTTCGGACGATTCTGCTGTGCTGCGTTCCTGCTCCGCCTGTATTTTATAGTGTTGCGTTCCTGTTGCGCCTTTGCATTAGTGTGTGCGTTGTGATTTAGACACGTTGAAGTAAGTTGAAACCAGGTTCTCGTTTGTTAAAAACCTAAAAAACCATTTATTTGCAGATTTTTTGTATGCTTCTGCTGTGCTGCGTTCCTGCTCCACCCGTGTATTAGATTGCTGCGTTCCTGTTAACATACATATCGTCGCTTAAAGTACAAAACCGCGTAACTGACATTTGCTGCTAAAAATTGGATTCGCTCACACACGTTTTTGGATCAATCCTTATCCATTCTTCCTGAAATATACTAGCCAAAAATGCGATTGCTTTTTACAAAAAGATAACCATTTTGAAATATGAGTGTTTTTACTCTCTAGAAATTAATTTATGCAACCTCGCATACGTGGGTTTGCATTATCTCTATACGCGGTTTTGCAATTTATTGATACATGGTTTTGTACTTTAAACGACGATATGTATGTAGATGTATGTACAGGTATATCACATATATTGACTTAGATATGTATACACAATTAATGGTGTACATAAATTTTTTTATATTGAAACTAGATATGTATATAGTACATATTTTATTATTATTAGTCGGTTCAAAAAAGTCCTATCTCAAATAAAAATACTTCGAAAATGTGCTGAGATAGGGTGTTTTTGAACCGAGTTCCGAGATAGGGCATTTTTCAATCAAATTCTAAAATAGGGCGTTTTTCAGCCAAATTTTGAAATAGGGCGTTGAAAAGCTTTCTGATATCGGGCGTTTTCGACCTGGCTGCCGAGATAGGTCGATCTTCTACTCAGCCATCGATATAGGGTCGAAGTTTTCGTTATATGGAAGACGATTAAACACGATTTGTTTTTAATCGATTCTAAAAAAACTAAGGTAATTTTTAGCCACTTCAAACTTGCATATAATTTAATTCTGAGAAAAAAGTTTGAATTTTGGTTGGAAATTTGTTGTATTTTTTGTAGTTTTCTACGATGTTTTAAAATTCGGTTTATATGGGTTTTGTTAGAAATTAAACTTTACTTTTGTTGCAAATTCTAAGCAATAAATAAATTAACATGAGAGGGAAATAATATCACTTTGAAATGGGGTTGCTATTGATATGACCGATACTGTATGTATATAATAAATTTTGTACAATTAAAAAAGTGGATTTACTAAAATGAACACAACGTATTAATTACAAATTCTGAAATATGTCGTTAATTTCAAAAACAAATAAATAAAACTTTAAAAAGTAGTCAATGCTTGCTGTATGACACGAACTTGGATATACGTGGACTTGGGTAATGTATAATTCCTTATATGATTCCTCAAAGTATCCCTTGTATAACACTGTGGAACACAAAAAAACCTTAGTGCGACTATATCAGGTTTGATAGCTGTTGGCCATACCAATAATGCCTCATACTAAGATTTACTAGATCAATTCGTGTTCTCCGAGAAAAAAAATTTTCACGATCCAAAAATCTGAAAAATTGTTTTGTTTTGTTGAAAATACCATACAAAGCAAATATAGGGCAAAAAACAAAGAATTTTCAAAATTTTGAGAAAAGAATTTGGCGGCTATACTCAGATTTTTGAATCGTGAAATTTTTTTTTCTCGAGAACACGAATTGATCAAGTAAAACTGAGCATGAGGCATTATTGGTATGGTCAACAGCTATGAAACCTGATATATGCGCACAAGAAGCCTATATGAAAGAGGGGGACAAAAGATCACACGTAAATGAATTCCTCTTTTTGGCCTGTACAATATAAGGGACACATTTCAAATTCATAAGGGATAATTTTCTTAGTGATACGGCTCATAAAAGGAATTATATAAGCCATACTGTTCTAGCTGGGTATTCATCAGCTCGAAAATTTTAAGCATATTATCATATTCCTGTGAATAAAAACACGCCTAATTTTATTATTTTAATTATCTACAATTTTATGAGACTACCAAGCCATATATATACCTATTCTGATAATCGGAACGCTGTTGAGAAGGCATACAATTTAGTACTTTTTCAACTAAAAGGCTTTTTTTTATTCCCGTTTATCTTGTACTTCCAAAATACAATATTGACCTAAGGTAGTTCGATTTCGAGCTGTCACAACGTACAACACCTTTCATTATTGCATCATGTTCAAAAACAAATGAAATATTAAAAAAGAATAAAATTGTTGAAAGAAATTGTTATTCAAATGTTGCTTGTAGCAATAATAAAACGACTCATTCAGGTAATAAGAAAACGACTCGCCCAGGCGCTTGCGAATGCTGCAATAGCCATTTAAAAACTTTTAAATATGAAACCTTTCTCAATAAAATTTCGTTAGGACAATTTTCGTCGTTTCGACTAAAGTCTGTCATTCAATCTGTGTTGAGCTGGCAACACTATTAATGAATTACAAGCATATTTTATATATAATTTTATATCTATTCTGATTGAGCTACTCACACTTCAATTACCAACTATTTGCTTCACATTCTCTTGTTCTTTGGCACTGACTAGTTGTCTTAAATGAGGAATCTGCCCATTTTTTTCCACCACACATTTTAGCCTTAGTGACTTTTGCAGCAGACAACTGAACATGACTTATGACCATTACGTGATGCAACATAAAAATACGAGTACAATTTACAAACATACACATTGGAATAAATGAGTGTTTGTGCTTGTATGCATTTGTTTGCACACCGAACGTGCATGAAATACTAGTTTTCCTCTTCAGCAAATATCAACTTATGGAACTGTCTATAACAGCAGCAGCAACAGCAACAGCAGCAGCACACAAATGCTGGCATACATGACGTATGAGTAACGCACGTTTCACATTCCACACACAGCTACCTACATACACAACAACCACGGACATTGGCGAAATTCGTAGAAGTATTTTATTTGCAGGCAATGTCGAAGATTTAATGGATATTTGTTGGCAACAACTTTAATAAATTTCCACCTTAAATGCCGTACTTTCATAGCAAATGAAGTTATTTCAATTCAACGCAACTCAATCCAACTCAACGCAACGCAACGCAACTCAACTCAACTCTCTAAAGTGTATATTTCTTCATTAGACGGCAAATAACTAAGAGCAAACTTTCTGTTGTTTATTAGCACCACCACCGAAAGTAGTTAGCTGCAAAAAATTTACTGCTGGCCTGCAAGTGGGCAAAGTTTAAAGTTTGTTTATTTGTGTGTGACAATAGCCAGCAGCACAGCGCGTCCAATGTTTCCCATCCAAAGGTGCAAATTGCTGCATAAAAGCATTCATTGTTTTCGTGAGTTTAGAGTTTTTTTTGTTTTGTTTGTTGTTGTGTTGCAGGAAATTTGTTTGACTAAAAGTTTTTGATGCTTATTTTGGTAATCAACACGTTTTGCACAGTGAATGACTTTGTTTGGTTGATTGGAGGCTGAGAAGTTTTTCGATTGTTTGGCGCGGGCGTTTCGTTATATTTTTTTTTGTGGTTTATAATTTTGCTGGGAAACTGCCGTTATGGCTTGATGAGTTCAGTGGCAGAGTGGTTTTTTCCATTGTTTTGTTTAGATTACAGTGAAATTTTTTGTAGTACAAAGTTCAAGTGAAAGTGACATTAAAATGCAGGTGAATACCAAAAATATTATGCGACTGATCTCAAAATTTTTCAGTACTATGAACTTAGAAATATATTTAGCACACCACAAAAAAATTTGATTTTACGACATAATTCTCTGCATAAGCAGCGATTTTCCCAATGACAGTACTGTTCTTGAATTTTGTATCGAAAGTCCACATTTGTACATTAAGGTGGTCCTTGAAATCAAATGAACGATGTTTTTCAGCCTCACCCCCTCAATCGGTAATACCACGGTCACAGATATAACATCTAAATTCTGGTCCCGATTGGTGATGGTTACAGATGCCTCTAAAGACTAAAAAAAAATATATATATTTTTTTTCATTTAATACCAAAAATCGATACTACTAAAGTCGAGGCTATCACATATACATTTTTATCACGATTGGAGTCGGGTAATCGGAATTTTGCCCCCTGTGCGACACGCCTTAACCGACTTCAATCGGGATGTGATATCTTCGACTATAGTAGCATCGACGTAGGGGTTGAAATCTGATGTAAAAATTTGCTTCCTTCATTTAAGTATCACCCTAATATACATATATATGTACATATATACATACCTATCTGTAAGTAAATTTTAAAATTGATTTTAAACTTTTCACTCTTAAACTTTAGGCAGATACATCGATATTAATATGAGGTCCGTAGATATGAATTGGTGGCTCCCTGGCTGAGTCGCACAACCGACAGAGATGAGTACATCAAATCCCCAGTCAATTCAGATACCCTCTTAGCCTACAACGTCGTGCACAGATGTCTTATATTCGCTTATTCTAGGTGGAAAAAGAGTAGCGAGGTGTCGCTGAAGCTTCCCCTTGATGCTAATTTTCCACGCAGCCCTTCCCCAAGAAAAGTCTCCGTTGGGTCATTTAGACTGGGCGATAGGCTCGTTCAATCTTTTCAAGTTCGTGGAATCCAATAGCATCATACCTGCAGAGCTGCAAAAAGTCTTGGAAGTATCATGTGGTTCACTGGATTCTATTCATGCGAGCTACTTGATGTCAGTGTTCTCGAAGACCGTTTATGGTTCTCATGCTTCCCCTAAGTATTTCGGGCGAATCAGTATGTCTATGTTTCTACTAAAAATGTTGGACAA